GAGAGAGAGAGAGAGAGAGAGAGAGAGAGAGAGAGAGAGAGAGAGAGAGAGTGTGTGTGTGTGTGTGTGAAAGAGGGAGAGAAAAAGAGAGAGTGTAGACTGTATGCATGAGTGCGTGCGAGCGTGCATGCATGCATGTCGGTGATGTCATTAGAAATTTGATCATATTCTATATATGTTCGTTTAATTGCTGAAATGAGTTGAGGGTGTGTGTTTTTTTCAGTATATTATTATGATCATTGTTGCGCATTTTACTTTTTCAGACCAGAGAAAGGACTTTAGAGACACAGTGGCGACAATTCTCCGAGGACAACACGAACTCCAGAGCCACCTACTGGAGCTACAGAGGACCAACACACATCTCTTGGCTCTGATTGGGGGAGACAATCTCTTCAGGAGAAGCTTCTCACCAGCAGCAGATGAAGTTGCTCTGCCTTCGATGTCCCTTCCGTTCCGTGGGATCAGACGACATCAAAATTGTTCCTACTTTTTCCGTGTGCATAACATTCATACCCACAACGGAGCTGACGATTTAAGCCAAGTTTACAGCCAGGACTGGTATTTACACCACCTAGGATTCCGCGGCTCTTATGGGATCGGAAGAACTTGGGACTCGGTAGAGATCGGACTATATCTCTGTTTCTTTGGCGCTGACGGTCCCGAGTCGGTCCGAGTTCGGACGAGTATCAAACTCGTGGATCCGAGTAATCCGAATGTTGAGTCTTGGATCGTTGGAGGAAGAACTGGGATAATCGATTCTACCTCGGACAGTCTTTATGAGTGGACCAGAGGCTATAAAGTACCACTGGATCGTAAAAGTCTGAGAAACAGAGGGTTTATGAAATCTGACGTGCTATTGGTCAGATTTGACGTGGAAATAATGAATGATCCGCTTGTGAATGAACCGCCTGAAAACAATAACTATACTCAGCCTTCTCGGAGCCCATGATGAAATTTGGGATTGGGGGCGGAGGTGGAAGGCTGTACGAGACAGACAAATGAATACCTGTACCTTTATTCCAGATTTCGTCTGGGTCTATGGGTGAGACTGGCTATTTTGTTGGTCCCGCCTCCTAAACGCGACACACAAACACACACACACACACACACACACACACACACACACACACACACACACACACACACACACA